AGCCTCCCAAGTAGCTGGGACCACAGGCACCTGCCGTAACGCCCGGCTATTTTTTGGTTGCAGCCATCATTGTTATTTGGTGGGCCCGGGCTGGATTCAAACCTGCCACCTTAGGTGTATGTGGCTGGTGCCTTAGCCACTTGAGCCACAGGCAACGAGCCGAGCACTTCTGATTTGCGGGAACAAACATATGGTAGGCCAGGGAATTTAAATGGGGATAGCTAAACATTTTCCTTATTAGAATAAAGTGCAGACAAACTAAGATTCTTACTTCACTTCTCCCTATTAAGTGGGATAATCCCTCTAATGTGTAACATTGATGTAATGCATAATGTGGGCAAACACTCGATATCCAATGGGAAAGGACAACTGCATAAAGTATTTTTAGATTACTAATGATCGGCAGATAAACCTGCCTTGGGGAGCAATTAGAAGTAGTCATTAGAGAAGGAATCCAATTTCAAGTGTTCTTGGCAATCAGGACTGAGATATCATGAGCCCAACAGACCACAGACACATACACAGTCTTAGGCTGGTGGAAATGGTGGGGATACAGATAACACCATGTCACAGCATGTTATTCTTAGCTTTAAGATAATTATAAATACCATATTTGGTTCTCATTCTTTTGAATCCATTGAAAAACCTTACTCACCTGCTGGAGTCCATCCCTGCAAGTTGACTATACCTCTAGATTCGCAAATTCTGGGTTCAATCTTCCAGTTTGAGATGGCACGCCCCTCCCCTTCCATCAAAGAATCTAAAGTCCATATGCAACAAAACTAATTCCCTCTCGAGTGCTTTCTAGGTAAAAATGTAGAAGAGGTGATATTCACAAGGGGAAAAAGAACTAAAGGAGTGTAGAAAGTAGGAACAGAGGAGATAATTCTCTGAATGAAAGAGCAAAGCCTTTTTCCTCTAAAAGATGAACACTATGGTAGACGGCGATTCTTCTGGAGACAAAAACAAAACAAAATTCTTCAGGGTCACTTTAGGAACCAAACAAAGAACTCCTCAGAATAAAAAGGCTCTTGCTGCTGGCCCCAACATCTTTCTTAAAACAAGAACCCAGCTAACAAAAGGGTGGTATAGTGTGCAGGATTCAGAGTGTTGAGGACAAAGCCGCCTGCATTGAGATATTGGACCTCAGAGGGTAAGTGGGTTAGAAAGAGGTTTTGGAGCATAATGAGGTTTACAAAAGCATCCAAGGGTACCAGAGGTTTTTACTAAAGGAAACCAAATGCAGCATACCCTCAGGTAGTGTATCACCAGGGGCTAAAAAGAAACCAAACAGTGATTAAATGAATTTCAGCAATGGTGTTCAAAAACTGAAATTATGTGGCAAATACAACTAAAATTCTGCTGTAAGTTTTTCATCTAGTAAGCAAGGGGGGAGGGAAAAGGCAAACACTCTTTGCCTTGAGAGGAATACAGTCGCACCATTAGGAAACATTCAGTGAGGTAAGGAAAGGATGAATAAAGGGGAAAACAATGGTTTTGCTGGTAAGTGATATGCTGCTTCTGGCAGAAATGCTTCTCTTCCTGAGGACAAAAGGAGTGTGAAGAGCACTAGGCATTTGAAAGCCTACAGAGTTAAGAACTGACAGATGATCATTATGGAAGATTTTGGTAGACTCTGACCATATCTTCAACAAGAGACTGAAGCTTCAGGTCCAGAATGGTATTCTCCGGCTTTGGAGGTACAGAAGGTCTTTTTCACTTTTTTGAAGAGGTCAGCGTCTCCTTTCTTTCTTTCTGCTCAATGGAATATTTTCCTTGGGAAGGCCAGCCTTTTTTTGACCCTGAAAAGAACTCCTCCATCAGCTCTTCAAATTTCTGTCACAGATACAAACTTCTGTCCACAAATACCATTATCTCAATGGCTGGCTCCTGTGTGATGTTGATCCTTCACTATCATGGCTCCATGCTACTGTGAGAAACGGAGACAAGAGACTTGTGTAGAATTTTGCCTTTAGGTGTAGGTAGGATATGGGGTGCAACGAGATGTCACATCTCACAGATCCAACTTTTTAAAGTGCCTATGCTTCTCCTTAGGAAGCATGTTGATGATTTTCTTTAGCACAAATATGATTTTTCTGATGGTAGAAGTGGTACTTGCTGAGGGCTGATGACTCTTCATGTTAGTGCAGTGGTAATCTGGAATCTTTAACTATGAGACCAACCTAGAGCTAGGGCTCTCTCATAACCAAGGAGCAAAGATTTATCAAAGGAATTAAGGCCCTTGCAAACAAGCAGAAAGCATCTCAGGTCACTTTGTAAACTCGTCTATAGTCAGATTATTTCTGATAAGCCAATTCCTAATTACTTCAGAGATATCAGGCTTAACATCTTTCACAAGTATATAAGGAAAATCCTCTGCAGAGCTTTGGATGTAGACAAGTCAATTCTATTTGTTCTTCTTTAGGTCATATGGAAATAGTCTTACTTCGAATACTTGGAGGCCACATCTGCAAAATGGTATGATCCAAGATCTAGATTGCCAACGTGTTGAGCTGAAGATGACAATTGAGACATCTAAGGCACAATCAGAATCATGATTCACTCTTTGAAGAAGGACCAATGTCTAGTTATCGATGCTAGACAACTTGCATGGAAACTATGAAATATATTCAAAGGGTCCAAAGAAGTGGCCTGAGGATTAAATGATTAGAATTCAGGATGAAATGTGATCCAGGGCAGAGATCCCTTATGCAGAGTTCTGTTCTTGGCTGGGCAAATATTGTCATAATTATACACTGACAGCTGGAATCATTAGGGAGGCACATAACTGAACAGGGAGCAAAGCCAACAGAACTGGGCTTTACAGAAACATTTGAAGAGGTGATAATCCTGTGAAAACTCTCAAGGATACCCAGATATTTTGACCTTTAAGGTTAAAGTCCAGTAAAACAAGGTGTTATAAAGGTCTTGCCAACATGCTTAAAACCAACATTCTGCTCACTGAAATGTTCTCCTTGGGAAGGCCAGCCTTTAAGGTACAACTTAAAGACATATTTGCCATTAGGTACAGTGCTGCTTCTCCCTGTGAAGGATGCATTCCCTATGGCTGGGGGGGCATATAAAATGATCACTGCTGCCAATAAAGGCAGTTTGTTGTCAATATACTGGCACATTTGAAATTACCTAAAGGGTTTGACTGGAAGCATGCTCCCAAAGAAAGAGATACTCAGTGTTTATCCCTGGAGAAAGGATTTACCCCTTCTAGGTTAACCATTTGCCCATCTTGCCTAATCTTTGTATTTTATCTCTGCCCTATTGGTGTAATGTATCTTAAGAGATAGTGCATGATCAGGGCAACAATCAAAATTTTAGTGCTCTATTTCAGAAAAAATGTTTAATTTACCTGGCTTCTGGTTTGTGTTTTTTTTAAAAGCTCAGTTTTAGATGGGGCCAAGAACAGATTTCACCAAATGTGACTGCCTCTTCCCTGAAGCAAATAAGCATGACTGTATAGAACTTCATTATATTAAATAACATGCTGAGGAACTCAGTTAGGGACATATCACCAAGGGGAAGACTGTTAGTGAATATGAATTAGCCTAGTTGTTCTTCCTGTTGATTGTAAATAAAGCAGGAAGTCACTGCCCTATGCACACCCTAAAACAACCTAATTTTAGAATTTAATCCTGAAGAAGGTGATATTTTAAAAGGCATATAAAGGCATATTTATATATCTGGTAAGGAGCTCATTTTAAAAGGCCCTCTCCAATGTTGTTTGTACATGGAGGGACTATTAATAAAAAAAGAAAAAAGCAAACAAGTATAAACCTATTTCTTTCATTATAGATGTAACTGTGAAGCTGCATTTTTGGTTGGGATAAAATTAATCTTTTTAATTTAATGCTCTGGCAATGGCTATATTGGATTCTAACCAGGGAAGTTACTGAGATAACGTGAGATACTGAGTATCTATGATCAACTGGAAATGTTAAAAACATTTGGTTAAATATCATTAATAGGATGATATAAAATATTTTCTCAATTTATAATAGAAACAGAACCAATTGTTCTTCAATGTGCTTTATATTATGCAAAAATCAATCGTTATGTGTACATCATATCAACAGGGAAGAATTTTAATAGTGGAGTCAGTGATCTTTTATACAAATTCCACACTTCTGCTAAGTCGCCTAGTTCAAAGACACGCAGCAATCAGAGATCTTTGGAAACTGGATACACACCACACCTCCTTTCAAGGCATGTGGTAACTACAGTTTCCAATGAGAGCTCTGTATTTCTGATCACAGATGCAAATTCTTAGCCACCTATATTCCATGTACACTGGGACAATGAGGAGCAATACAGACAGGATTATCCAACATCTGTGGCATGGTTAGATGCAGCCCTAATGGAGGGAGAACTATTGATGTTCTGCAGGATTTATTATTTTTTTAAGATACTCACATATACACACAAAACAACCAACAGAGTATTTACCTGCAAGATACAGGCATTCTTTATGGTGTAAGAAAGGGCACAGTACTGAGGTACACACCCATTTCTGTATTGAAACCTATGGATGGCCAGGTACCGGAAAGCTGTGGTGGAGCTGTAGTTGTGGATTCAACTCCAAGCAAAGTGGACAAGAAATACAATGGAAATTAGGAGCATTATCTTGCCCCCAGGGCCTATCTGGAATTTGCATAGTAGACATATGCAATCTATTTCTGGTAGCTAGAACATACCCTCCTTTCATATCTAAATAGGAATATACATAGGAAATATATACGAATCATTCTTTTCTATGAGAAGGTAACAAAATACAGGTGTTTTGTCAGAAAGCAGGACAATGATTGTTATGTGTTAAGTGCTCAGTTAGTTGGGTATACCTCAGGTGACCTGTGGCGCTACCAGAACAGACCAAGATTCGCTGTATGCAGTACTGTTCAGCTTATTGTAGGAAATGTAGTTTACTGTGGTATGTAGTTTAAGTATATAGTTTTCGTGGAAAATTGGCATTTTTTTCTTAGGGGCAAAGGCAAAATCCATAATCTACTTGGGCCTTGAAGAGACACAAATATGAAATATATCATACCTATCTGTATTCCACACAAAACTGCAAACATTGCATCCACTGTGCTGTTATGGGGTCAGGAAATTTGGACACAATATCCTCATCTCTGGTGTAAATGGCAACACTAATAAAGCTCTTCTTTGAGAGATGTATATCTCCAAGGTACACACCAGGATTTATATACTGGACGGCAGAATATACTGGGAAAATACCCTCTATTTCCAGGAAAGCTAAGAAAAAGGGAGACTTTTGAGAGGTGAAATATTTTTGCCCTTTTTATTTCCCTTCAAACAAGTAACCCAAGCATGCGAGCAAACAGGGAATCTGCAGCACAGGCACAGCAGCAATCTCTCGGGCAGCACTTTCCGTGAACCTGGGTTAACATCTGGACCGGCAGCCATTTGGAATGAAGAGTCGAATCTCTGCTGCCCGCTACAGTGCAGCGTGGCATACACCAACAGCCCTGGGGCACTCCTTCTGCTCTGGAGGCTCCCACTGACACGTAAGCTGGGGGACAGACAGAGGTTTATCCTCTTCCAATTGCCTGCAACTCACGTTGCAAGCTGAACTTGCTGGGTTTGCCACCGAAAACACAAAGCTTCCTCTGCATCTCCTGATGTATGTTTTTAAAAAGCAGCAGGGCCCTTCACACAAGGTTCATGTTCTTATTGTTTGCTTGAGCGTTTCTGATTTGTTGGGGGGGAAGAAAAGACCCTTGATGTACGAAGTTGGGCTTAACTCCCCAGAGCCCAACTCTCCCAAGGTAACTCACTGCTTCAGGGTACTTTACCTTCGTGTGGGGCTGGGTCTTGATGGAGCCGTATTCATATTTCTTCTTTCCGCTGCCTTATTAATATCTGAAAAGAATAATCAACCCATCTGTTCAATGCTACGGAATAAAAACAAGATCATCAGCACATTTCAAATGAAAGCAACAACAAAAAACTACAATGACAACCAGATGGTGTAAGAAAATTCATTCAGCAGAGACACACTGTCACTTGGGCAATTTTTATTAAGTTAAAGCAGTACATTGTCATGGCTTGGTAAGGAATGTGCCTCACTTTTCTAGCTATCCCACAGTTTGTGTAAAAGTAATTACATCAATGTTTTAACACCCTGCCAAGCCCTAATGTAAAATACCCCCTCAAAAAGGGGGAGACATTGCTTTCTAAACTCTTGGAGAGCGAGTGATAAGATTCTTTCTATGGGGAGGAATGGGAAAAGATAAAGAGAGTTTAAGAAAACAGAAGAGCAAAGGCAAATAATTCTATTTTATGTTACTAAGAAGTAATAGCTAGACTCAACTATCTTAGAACTTCCAATATTCCATGAAGACCTCCTTTTAGTGTGTCTTGTGTTGCATTCCACTGGCTAGAATCTTCCAGACTAAGATGCAGGAATAACTTTTTAAAATAAAGAATATGACTTGTTAACATCTAAAACCTTCATTGATAAATAACTAAGAATTAAAAATTGGCATCTGATATAGGAGGAACATTAGGTAATAAAATCTGCCTCTTAAGTGTTCATTAAAGGAAGTTAGCAATACAACTAGATTAAGGAACAACAGTGGAATCTTCTTATAGAAAAGCCAATTTGTAAAGTTAAAGTATGCTTTGCTAAAAATAGAACATACCTGCTTTATAAAGATTAAAGTGAATACTTCAGATTGAATAGAAAAATAAAATTGCTTTCTTCTACAGTACAGTTTTGTTCCCCTTATGCCATATGAAGCAATTAATAGTGTATCTAAAGATATCAAAATACATAAGTACTCACATAATTAAAATGCTTTAAAATAGTAATTATATGTTTTAAAAATTCCAACCAGATTCCTATGACATGAAAGATCACTGCAGTAACAAGAAACTTAAAGGTCTGGTATAGATTTTGCTATGTTGCCAATTTTTTTAGTTCATGTTTAAGTGAGGATTGTTTTTAGTTCATGTTTTTGCTATGTTGCCAATTTTTTTAGTTCATGTTTAAGTGAGGATTATATTTCACTTTAAATCCAAAGTCTTTATCATGTTTAGAAGAATGGCTTTTGACAAAACTGAAGATAACATATATCTAAATAGTCAGAGAAGCATATCCTACCTAATTTATTTCTAAACCAGATATCCTTTTATTTCTTAAAAAACAGAAAATATTTCCTATACAAACCGTAGCCAGTAATATCTGACCATAGCTTTGGTAATACATGGGGCACTTTTACAATTTACAACTCTTATAGCAAATATAAAATTCTTTTATATGTAATAGTGAACAATATTAGATCAGATTTAGAAGGACTTAATAACTTTGCTCACTTTATTTGAAGTGCCACTTTCTACCAGAGAGGAATTATAATCTAGAGAAAAATATAATATCTTTAATTACTATTTTTTTTCTTTTTTTGGTTTAATATTTACTTTTTTTTAAGACAGAGTCTCATTCTGTCACCCTGGGTAGAGTGCTGCTCTATCACAGCTCACAGCAATCTCAAACTCTTGGGCTCAAGAGTTCCTCTTGCCTCAGCCTCCCGAATAGCTGGGACTACAGGCACCCGACACAATTCCTGGCTATTTTTGGTTGTTGTCTGGTAGGCCCGGGCTGGGTTCAAACCTGCCAGCTCTGGTATATGTGGCTGGCACCCTAGCCACTGAGCCACAGGCGTCTCAAACTCCTAAGCTCAAGCAATCTATCCACCTTGGCCTCCAAGAGTGCTAGGATTACAGGCGTGAACCAATGCACCCAGCCATATCTCTAATAATTTTAAGTAGTTTTCAGTGTCTCTGGGATACATTGGGTATGTATTTTTTTTTTTTTTTTTTTGAGACAGAGCCTCAAGCTGTCCCCTTGGGTAGAGTGCCATGGCATTTCAGCTCACAGCAACCTCCAACTCCTGGGCTCAAGCGAGTCTCCTGCCTCAGCCTCCCAAGTAGCTGGGACCACAGGCGCCCGCCACAACGCCCGGCTATTTTTTGGTTGCAGCCGTCATTGTTGTTTGGTGGGTCCGGGCTGGGGACTCGAACCCGCCACCTTAGGTGTACGTGGCTGGCGCCTTAGCCAGTTGAGCTATAGGTGCCAAGCCACATTGGGTATGTATTAAGATTTCTTTTAAGTACCATAACGTCAGCAGGAGTCCATGTATTAAATGACCTCATGAATAAAGAAAATGTATCTAAACACTGACTAGACCTGGCAAATATTTAGGTTAACAGTGGACAGAACATATAAGTTCTTCCTTAATTGGTCCGTTTTTTATTGCCATAGTTTGCCCTTCATATATGAACAAGAATATTACACCAAAAAAGAAAAAAAAAGAATATTACACCATATAATTCGTATAATTATATCCAGTTCTGTTTCTACACACAGGACTGGGGAGACCAAAGTGGTCATGTATTATATTTCTTTGGGGCGAAACTGGTTCTAGTTGGAATGAAGAAATCTTTTTGCCAATTATTTGAAAGCTTATTTAAAGAATATTCACAATTGTATCTTTAAACCATTTTGACTGTAATTTGTCTTCTACATCTATTTGCACTGACTAGTCTAAAGCCGTTATATCTGGATGGCATGGGACATTTCTTGTGCAAAAAAGAGAATTTTTAGACCATTTCTTTAATTTTAGGGGTTAATAAACTTTTAGTGCAGTATATCAAGTGTTTGTTTACCCCTATTTGGGTGTTTTTAAACTTCTACCTTGAATGAGATATGGAAAAAATGAAACCTGGAAATTTTTGATGAAGTCTCATTTCTATCCAATAGAATTGTTCAGGTTGGGGGTTTTCAGTGATAGTTGTGAAAACATAACCACCAATCTCCACAGACCCCCAAATCTTAACATGTGCATATAAAATCTGTAAGTTCATAAAAACAGGAAGAAGAGAAAGGCCACCCAAAGTCTGAATAACCCAAGGAACTCATTGTAATAGAGCAAAGATTTAAGAAATCAAGAAAAACTTGTTCCATTCTAATATTGTCTCAGAATTTGAAAACCTGTCAATAGGAAGTTTTTTCTTTGATAATGCAAATATTGGGACTGCTAAAGGGGCAGTCCCCTTTATTATTATTTCAATTTGATTATTTTCTTCCTAAATCCTTATAAGGATATAAAAGCAACATCAAGGAAACAGAAATGGTATTAATGTAAAGGAGAAGGGGAAAAAGGGGAAAGCCACTTGGACATAAAATGGGAAACTATAACTGGAGAAAAGTTAATCAACAAGAGGGCAGTGGCAACTTGGAAGTCTCTCTCAAGGAGAGATGGGAGTGCTTCCTCTGCTTAGAAGAGAGTCTCTCAGTAGCATCTCCATGTTAGGTTGGTGGTACTTCTATACCTTGTTAATTATATTAGCAATGTGAATACCATTTAAAATCATCATCATCACCATGGGGTACTTAACTGTAGCCTGAATATCTATAATTTCTAAGTAGTCTTTTGGAAAAAGTTAAAACCATTTCTCAATTAAGAACTTTTAGACAAGAAAAATAGCATCAACTCAAAGCATTTACATAGAAGGAAAAAAAACCCAGAAAATAATCCAGGAAACATGCAGGAAGTGGCAGAGCCATTTTATTTATTTATTTTTAGACAGTCTCACTTGGTCACCCTTGGTTGAGTGCCGTGGTGCCATAGCTCACAGCAACCTCAAACTTTTGGGCTAAGTGATTCTCTTGCCTCAGCCTCCCGAGTCACTGGGACTACAGGCACCCACTACAACATCCAGCTTTTTTTTTTTTTTTTTTTGCAGTTTTTGGCCGGGGCTGAGGTTTGAACCTGCTACCTCTGGCATATGAGGCCAGCACCCTACTCCTTTGAGCCACAGGTGCTGCCCTGACATACAGCTAATTTTTTTAGAGATGGGGTCTTGCTCTGGCTCAGGCTGGTCTTGAACTGGTGAGCTCAGGCAATCCACTTGCCTTGGCCTCCTTGAATGCTAGGATTATTGGATGAACCACTGTATACCACAAAAGAACAGGGTGAAGAACTCCCAAAGAAAGAAACAGTACAATCTACATAGATTACACAATGGTCCTTAAACAATGTTACAAATGAAAATGGGTGTTTCATTCATAGTACCAAGAACTGCTTTGCTTTACCTATTTTTTAAATGTAGTAACTCTTTTTGCCTTAAAATCAATTTCTATACTTCACAGACCTATAGCAATAGTAAACAACGAGGGCTCGAAATTACAAGAACAGTGTTAAAATTTATAGGAGGCTATTGCTTTGGACTAAGGTTCTGAACAAGGCCCAAAAGACCAAACCAAAATGGAACTCATGTCTAAGTTCCACACCACTAAGACAAAAACCAAGATCTTTATCTGACTTTTTGAGAAATCAGGAGAAAGAGAGGCCAGGTTTAAGTGGCATGATAAGGAAGTCCCCTCCACTTTACCCTTTACAAGAATAGTGAAATGACCAACCCACTTTTTCTTTGTTTCTGGTTTCCTCAGCCTCCTTTGCTATCTATAAAGCCAGCCCTCTCTGCTGAACTAATCGGAACACTCATTTTATATTACAGAATGAGGAACTGCTTGAGTCTAGAATTGCTAATAAGGTCTTTAAATTTGTTGTAATTTTGTCTTTTGATAGCAGTATGAACCACAATGCTTTGTGACAGTACCACCACTGGCTTGAAAGAATCCAGAAGCCCATGCAATTTTAATAACTGACTACAAATGAAATAAAACTCCCCTAAAAGGCTTAGCTGAAAACCAACTAACAATCAGGAATTACTAAAGTGGAATTACATGCTGATAAAAGATAATGCCACTTGGAAAACCATACTGACAAGGCAACAGATATCACACATTAGATCCTCTAAACTGGGAGAGGAAATGACAGGACTTCTCACTAAATTAT